TCCCAGGGCAAGAGAACTGACATCCACAGCTGCACTAATCTCTCCCAGTTGCTGTGAGCAGCAGCGATGGGCCTGGCGGGGCAACCTCCCCTCCCCATGTCCCAGGAACCCGCCCAGGCTGTCCTCTGGGACCAAGCCAGCTTGGCGTGAAGCATGGGGCAGAGCTTGAGGGCTTCTACCATGGGCAGTGTGGAGTAAGCACGGAAGCCTGGTGAGCCTGCTGTTCATCCTGCCCCTTAGGTGCAGCGGACAGCGGGGCCACCTGACCCAGGAGCCACCAACTGCCGGACTAGCTATTTTCCCGTCATAGGCTCTCCTTCCATCCCAGATGCCCAGCATAGTTTTAAATGTGTGTCCACTGGGTGAGCCTTGGACCCCTGGACTCTTAAATTTAAGATGCTGACAGATTTGGTTTTACCTTTAGCCTATGTTTAAGATGACATTTGACATGTGTGGGACCAATGCTACATGAAGAATGGGTTTCTCAGCAGGTGGGGGACATGCAGGGAGGACATGATCATTTCTCCCCACAGTTGAGAATGCAGAAGTTTCTGCCATATCCTTCCCAGTGGCCCCACCGCCAAGACACATGGCAAGGAGTGGCCCTCCTGGCTATAGCATTTCTCACCTCCCCACCTCACCCCCACAGGGCTGTGGGTACCTGCCAGAACCCCCTTGGGCTTCCAATGGATTCCCAACCTTAACATCACCTCAGAGGCAACCAAGATTAATAAAGTGGACCAGCCAGGCAGGATGGCACAGAAAGTGATCCCAGGAACTTGGGAGGTTGAGGCTGGAGGATCATAAGCTCAAGGTCAGCTCAGGTAACTTAGTGAGATCCTGTCTCAAAATAAAACATAAAAAGGGCTGGGGCTGGGGGGGTGTTGGGGCTGCGGCTGAGTGGTAGAATGCCTGCCTTGCATGTGTGAAGCACTGGGTTCGATCCTCAGCACCACATAAAAATAAAGATATTGTGTCCATCTATAACTTAAAAAAAAAAAACGACATACTTATATATAAAAAAAAAAGGGCTGGGAGGTGTAACTCAGTGGTAGAGCGCCCCTGGGTTCAATCCCTAGTGCCACCAAAATAAATAAATAAATAAAAAGTAACGTTGACCAGACTGAGGAGGGCCTTGACCTGGAGAGAAAGTAGTGAATATCATAACACCTGATACACTCAAAGGAGAAACTTGAAACTTTATACCAACCTATCCCTCTGCTTGGCTGAGAGGCAAACGTGCCTTCTTGGTCCTGAATTCATCTCCTTGTTTCTGACTAGCCCATGGCCTCTGTCTTGAACAGTACCATTTTCCTCAAGTCTGGTAGATGCCTGGCACTAGCTTGAGGATTCAGTCATTTGTTGGGTACATTTTAACTGAAATAATGTTAAAATTACTTATTACCTGATCTCTTTTAATCAAGAAGCCACATGAGATTATACAATAACCTGGGCCAAGCTTCACCTTTGGCAGCAGCTTCCTCAACATGGGAACTATCCAGCTCATCCAGCTATTGCCCCTCCTGGCCCACCCCAGGACAAGAGTCTTTCACACATGAGGCTGGGGCTTGCTGCCCTCCCTACTTATCTTACCTGCTCTGCAGGCTGCTGAGCACTTGACATGTGGCTGGTTTGTCCTGAGAGGGGCTGTGACAGCACCACATGCACCGATTTCAAAGACTTGGCATATGACAGGAAGACAGCAAAATGTCTTAATGAGAATTCTTACAATGACTTTATGTTGACATTCTGTTTTGACTATATGGGTATAGTCAACTAAAGCATTATTAATTTCACCTGTTGCTTTTTTGTTTTCCCCCCTTGGTGCTGGGGGCTGAACCCAGGACCTCACACATGCTAAGCACATGCTCTACCACTGAGCTATACTCCCAGCCCTCACTTTACTAGAAAATTTCAAAGGACACATGGGGCTCACATTCCACTTCTGCTGCATGGTGCTGGATGTTTCCTCCAGCTGACTTCATTCCCAGCATCGGATGGCCTGCTGCTCCGCTCTATTCTAACCACCAAGCCAGGTATTCAATGTCCACCAATATCCCCACACCGGCGACGGCCCCTTTGTATCCATCTACTCTTTGAATACACACTCCCTCACCTCGGATTCCAAATGCACCCAGGAAGCTCTACACCACCTCCTCCTCTGCCTTCCCTGCCTCATCTGGGAAGCTGTATAGAAAGGGTCACCAGCAATACCTGACCCCGAGAGCTGGAATCTACCATGGGCTTTGTATCTTCCTTTTGTTCAATGCTAACACTTCGTTAATATGAAACACTGCAGAAGGGAGGAAAATGAACTCAGTGTTTACATGAGTTTGGATTTCCAACACTTTATTAAGGAACAACGGGCACCTTGCCAGATTAGTGGGAGGGGAAGCGGGTAGGGGCAGGAGAGACAGAAACCAACAGCTGTTTTGAGTTACAGACTTTCTGTCTAAACTGGTAGCATCCCACTGTGGCTGTTGCCTTTGGGGTTTGAAAATGAAGTTGGTGTCTATTTTAGTTCTGGGTTAAAAAGCAGTCTTTCCCACCAGCTACCGTCACAGTTCACAGCCTGGCTAGTCCTCACTGGCCCATGCCTGCCCCCAAGGCCTCCTCTGATAGCAGGCTATTATGTGGAACAGCAGAGCAGAGAGGAGAAAGGGAAATTAACAATGTTCTGTAATCAACTCCTTTTTGGTTTCCAGATGCCAGCCCCACCCCATCTAGCAACAGTTACTAGATAGTGCCATCAGGCAGGAGCTAGCCTGCTCACCCTGCACAAAGGATGTCAGGTCACCTCTTCTTAACAGCAACCCTAAGGCCAGTCATTGTGGGGCCAGGGATAAAGGCCTGCCAAGACTCTACCAGGCAAAGACACTTCTTTAGCTAACCACTCATCAAACAAAGGGCATTATCACTGAACAGGTGAGGTTAACTGGATCTGCAGGGCTGGAGGTTCAACCTCATAGCCTGTCTATGCCACCCGCCTTGGAGCCATATTGGGTGATCATCCATCAAATTGTGACTGCACATGGACTACATGACCAGTGTCCAGTGCAATTCCCACTTCCACCCACTCTGAGGATGCCCGCCTCTCCCTTGAGAAGGTCCTGGTCTGCAGGCCACTCCACAAGATCCACACCCTCATCCACAACAGCACTTCAGCAGAGGATAGCTCATCCTTCTCTCTCACTGCTATGCACTTTGTCCAAGCCCTGGGCTGTCCAGAAATCTCTTCAGAGCCAGATTATTTTTTCCTATAAGATAGAATTATCGAGAAGGGGCAAATGGACAGTTCCTATGATGCTCTCTAATCACAAAATAAAATAGGAAGTGAAATAAAACATATAAAGGAGCACAGAGATGAGCTGTGACTTCATGGCACTGCGTAACAAAAATGCTGAACGGGAGTTGGCGTCTCAAGTGCTATTCCTGCTCTGCCCACAACTCTCCTTATGAGGCTTGCCTGCCAACTTCATATCCTTCATCCAGAGAAGGATTTTAATATTCTCCACCTACCACAAGCCCACATCCTAGGGATGCTGTGGACATTAATGAAACCATAAAGTCAAGTTCCTCAATCTCAGAATGAGGGGGTTTACAAAAGGAAGAACCAGATGTGTTCTCAACGGTTAAGAGAGTTTTTAGAATTACAGACCTGAAGGGAATAAAGGGATGACCTGGTTTCCCAGCCTTCCTTCAATCTGAAGGATGAGGAAACTGAACTTACACATGAGCAGAGACAGGCCTGACAACCAGCCCATGGCTGCTCCAACACATTGGCCAATTTTCTAAGACTGGGGAGTTTCATAAAGATATTTTATAGTATTTCAATTGCTCTCCATAAATTCTTTCCTCCTCGTCCACTGGAATATATGTCAAACTAATGCAATTAAGGATAACGATATTCAACATGGCTTTTAGTTACCCCCGCACAGAGGTCTTCGGCTGGCTCGGACCTTTTCAATCCTAGGTCACAACTTAACACATGTTTGTGGGAAGGAAATCTGGTCCATGTATTAGGCAAACAGATGCCCAAATTCCTGTACTCTCAAGGTGTCTTCCTCACGTTGTAACCACGTAGGGGTCTGCCCTCTGCTCTTGGAAGAACACCCTCAGCTGTGTGTGACTTCCGGGATGGGCTACCTTCAAGCCTCCCAACTACAGAAGAGGCTCCCACACAGCTCTTTGTTCTTTTCAATGCTTAAGATCAATGATAGTAATAGTTTAAGGAAAAATCTCTACACCTATCTGCTTACAAAAAACATGGGACTTTCTGCCTGATGAAGAGTCATCAGAGATGGTAGCAAAAGACAGACAAGTTCCCCCTAAATTCCGATGGAAAATTATATCAATATCCATGTTTTCTGCCTCACAAAGTTGAGAATCAGAAACCCTGCAGCTAAGCAAGATCTAAAACTAAAGCTGAATGAGAACAATTGCCTGCCGCTGTTTCATTGGAACGAGAAGGCTTTACTTCTTTGCACTCAGCTAGTCTTTCTTACCCTACAATGCTTTCTCAGGGTTGTTTTTGCTATGGGTTGAACTTTTCTGAACATCTAGTATGTGCCAGCATTGTGCCAGGGGCATGTATCACATGGGTTATCCCTGCTCTGACCACATATCCATATATGACTAATAATCTTGTGGGTTGCAACACCTTTTTTTGAAGAAAATATGTCTGTTGTCCAAAAGCTCTTGTGACAGGAGACTCCCCAGTGGCTGGGGGGCTCAATGGTGATTACTCAAGGGGCCTTGCTAGGAGCAAAAGAGGCAGAATGAACACACCCTGTGACTATAGCCACCTTCTCCCTGAAGATCCTCAGCCCAACCTCTTCCCTATACCTTGAGTGTTTCTTAACTACCTTATTAATGTCATCCTACTCAAGTTCAATCACTGAACTCAGTTTAAAGTAATGAGAAATAAGAATGTAATATGCTAGGAGTAGGAATGAAAAACAGCCTCCCAGACCACAGGTCTAGTTCACCTTTCCTCCTACCTTAGTGGGTTATCTGAATGGGTCTCCATGTGCGTCTCCAGTCCATACTTGCAAACAAATTCCTTGAAGCATATTGGGCAGTGAAAGACTTCATCAGCCTTCTTCTCCAAGTCACCTGGCTGCCCGTCTTCTACCATCTTAGGGAAAAGCAGAAAGTGAAGTCATAAAGGTGTTCTCTCATGGGGACTGCTTCAGAAAAGAGGCCATCACCAACCCAGGGACTTCTAAAAGGGATGTGGACCTCACTACGTTATTAAGGATGTGACTCCACTGATTCCTACATTCACACAAGACATACCCACCACTTACCCGCCTGTGCCCTCACTCATTCCCCAGTCGTCTTATCTACTCAACAAATACTCATGGAGCACCTAGTATCTGCCAAGCACTAGGAATGAGTGAGGACAAGAGTCCCTAACACTGATAAAACTTCATTTTAGCTATAAAAACAACATAAAAAGTGTGAAAATAATTCTGGGAGCTCTTTGTTTCATCCCTAGGCTAGTTGAGGGGGTCCAAAGAGGAAACACACACAGGTACTCTTTTCTTAGACACTTTAGAAAATACTGTGGGAAAACATAGGTCGAAAAGCCTAGGATAGATGTCTGCCAAGTCCCTAGACTATGAAAATAAAGACGAGAGGTAGATCTGCAAAAGCCCCCCCATGAGGAGACTCGTCTGTGCCAGGGGCCCAGAGGACCTTTTTAGCTGGTGCTGGGTCTTCTCTCTCCGATTCGGCATCATGACTCAGCTTCCTCTTAGAGGACAGCCGCCTGCGCTTCAGAGGGGATGGAGGGGCTGCAGCTGTAGCACTGTTGGGGTCCTTCTCATGAATCTTCATATGTCTGAAAGGGAGATACACAACGATGGTGTGACGTGACGACAACAAATATCTAGTTCACTTATTTCTTCTAAATTTTAGATTTTGTATCTGGGCCTTGGTCTTGGATTTTATCTTTTTGTGTGTGGTGCTGAGGATGGAACCCAGGACTTTACTTGTGGGAGGCAGGTGCTCTGCTACTGAGTTATAGCCCTACTCCCCGAATTTTCATTAGTTAAGTATGTGGAATACAATTTGTACAGTGGCTTCTATCTTTCCAAAGCTTTATAATCTCCTTGACCCTTCAAGCTCCTGAGAGTGCTATCCAGAAGCAGTGCTGTGTCTCACTGCTTGGTGGACGATATTCATGAACTTGACAGGCATTAGTGAGATAGAAACAACTAGCTGGTGACTGGTTTTATGTACTCAGGCAAAAAATACTATTTTAGGACACATAATTCTGCAGAATAAAAAATTCCCAGGTTCCTAAACTTCCACTAGTTCACAAACTAAGCCATAACTCCATATTGGCCCACAGAAGCCATCCTAGTTGTATTGTCTTTCTTCTGCCTTTGGAAGCATTTTGGGGTACAAATTTGAACTGTGCTGACAAAGCACATGTCCAGAGTGCTTAAGACCTGAAATCTTTTCCATGTTGTTCAAGGTATTATGTGGATTTATAGATGATGAGAATAGGTGGACAGTGCAGTAAATTACATGTTGCAACTCTTGTATCTAGATACACATATAATATGAAAGTGAGGTTTTATATATATTATATGTGTTTGTTCCATTAAAAGGGGTCTTATGGATAAGGATCTGATTTAAATGACCTTATTTACTTATTTATTGTGGTGCTAGGGATTGAACCCAGGGCCTTGTGCAAGGCAAGGCAAGCACTCTATCAACTGAGCTATACCTCCAGCCCTTATTATTAACCCAGCCCTTAATAAATAACCTTATTTTATCAGGTTCTAAAACAAACATCCTAAGAAGAGGGTCCCAAGATACAGAGGAAAAGAATGGCATTACAAACAAATAGTCTCAATTCCTTTTTTTTTTTTTTTTTGCAAAATAAAAAAAGTTTCAGTTTGCTAATGACAATCATACTCATCATCTGAATGGGGTTAAACTGTGCCAGATGTAGGAATGTAGCTGCAGCTTTTTACAAATAGCTATTTTATAAGATGATTTTACTTGAGAATTTCCTTCCACTCCCTCCCCTGTGCTGGGGATTGGATCCAGGGCCTCATTTACACTAGGCAAATGCTCTACTACTGAGCTATACCTCCAGTCCCTATAAAAGTTCTTAAGAATGTGAAAAGACAGCAAAGCTCTCATGCACTCCCCTGTCACACTTCTGAAAACCATCTCAGCTCACCTTTTTGCTGTGCCTTCTTTAGAGGAGTGAGTCTGTGGGGTGAAAAGGCCAAGCAGCTTGTGAATCACAGCTGCTGGTGCCAATGATCAAGATGGCCAGGATGCCGAATTTCCCACACACAGGTTCTGCCCTACAGCAGCAGGAATCTCCTTTTCTAAAGTTTGTGGATATAGATGCTACAGTTTGCTTTAGACTTCTCTCACTCTACTCCTTAGACACACTCTAGAATTAACCCCCTGCCTAGACTCTGCCCTGACAAAACAGCACCAGTCCTACAGCTATCCACCAGCTGAAACTGCTAAAGATGGATCCTGACCTTGAGGACAGGGGACTCAGGAAAAGAAGCCAAACCTGTTTTCTTAGGGGGAATCCATGTGGTGGAGTAGAAAAATCTAGTGGGAGAAAATGGATGAGAATCACAATCACGCTTATAGCCACAAAATTCCTTACCCAAATTATTAGGGAAGGATGCTTTTTTATTTAGTTCTCAGTCACTTAAAGACTTGAAGAAGTTAACAGACACAAATAGCTCTGTTAAGTACAAAAGTGATTGTGATTTGACAAGAACATCCTTTAACATCAAAGTTTGAAGGAAAAAAAAACCAAAGTGGCTTCTTTCAGCATTTATTATATGGTTCATCCCCATTTTATATATTTAAGAAAAAAGCATCTAAGAATTGAGGAAGTATGATAATACTGAAGATATAAATTATTATTCAAATTTGCCATTTCAATAACTTATTCAAAATCAATTTAATTAACAAAAACAATACCCTTTTTACCAATAGAGTGAGAATATTAGAAATTAGAGAATGACGACTATACACAGTTCATTGGCACACTTCAGGCTCCATATTCTCAATCACATGATACATATACACACAGAAATATAAAAGGATGCTTTATTATTTTGTCCTTGGGATTTATGAGAGAAGCTAGTTTCACAGGGAGAAGAAGGGCTAAACCCAGCACTCAGTGAGGGTTTAGCAGAACTTTCACACACACTGTTATTTCCATTTTGCAGATACAGTGGTGATATAAAGAGGGATCTGTAATTTTCGGTTAGAATGAAGTTTTCAACAATTGGGACCTTTCTCCTACTTCAGATGGCCTCCAAAGGCCACATCAGTCAGTTAACTTGGTTCTGGATCACTAGCTGGAATCTCAGGGCCATAACCCAGGCACTTCCTCTGTGGGTGACGGTGGCCCAAGGTGAAATAGTTGGCATTAAATGACAAAATTCTATCAGGAGACAGAGCAGGTGAAGAGCCCATAGGACTGCAGAAAACCTGGTCCTAGTCTAAAATCCTGGGGTGGCCCTTGAACAGCATGATGGCTGCGGTGAAAGAAAGAAGGAAGGACAGGCAGTCCTACTGGCCCCATGAAACTGAAGAACACAACCATCTACTCTAGCTCTCTGAGTCCTGCTGGAGCCTCAGGTTCAAAACACAAGCACAGCTCCAGTCTAGAATGAAATGTCTGGTTGCTGGCCACAACACGGTGGGTGAGTCCCTGGTTCGTTCCTCCAGAGACATGATGACCAATAGAAGAAGCAAGCTGATTCAAGACTTAAATTTAGTCAATGGCCTCAGAGGTCCACAGAGGTCCAGTTGACTGGATGTGATCTGCAGTTACAGATTCCCTCCATCCCAACCCTGCTCCGATTCCTTAGCCTCCAACAACATGGACAGCAACTTGAGCTGTTCATTTCCTCCCTAAGGTTTTCAGGAAGCAGGGCGAGAGTCATCATGATGAGCCAGTAATTAGCCTCCCCCTTAGGGTAACCAGACAGAGAAAAGGGGTGGAAGGAAAGAGCAAACACTATTGTGATTAGAAAGCTGGGTCTGGGCTGGGGCTGTAGCTCAGTGGTTGGGAACTTGTCTTGCATGTGTGAGGCACTGGGTTCAATCCTCAGCACCACATTAAAAAATAAATAAATAAAACAAAGATATTGTGTCCATCTGCAACAACAACAATAGCAAAAAGAAAAAAAGAGGCGCTGGCTGGGGTCTGTTTTCCTCGTAGGTCTTATTTCCAGGGTTAATCTGCCCGATTCTCATTATCTGAGACTCAATGAAGACAAGCCCTGAGCTGGAAAGGAGCTAAGATAGGACCCAGTCATGCATTCGGCACAGAAAGTCCCTCTGCACAGCATACGAGAGAGAGCACCACCTAGTTGTGTTTGAATGCTTCCAACAACAAGGACGTCTCCATTTTCACCAGTTGTTCTCATGGTAAAAGACAGTCTTCCGCATATGGAGTCAGATAGGAATTCCATCCTTTAAGTATCTATCAGTTGTCAGGGGCAACACAACCTATACTCTTCCGATAGCACATGAGGACCACTGCATTTCTCCCAAGTTCTCTTCTCAAAATTAAACAATTCCAGGCCCCTAAGTGCCACCTGCAAATCTGTTGGAATATACTGCTCACTAACCTCAGGATACCCTCCAGTCTGTAGACATCCTTCATCCACATCTGGATCACGCTGGATCCTGCATAGACATGGTCTGAGAGCTCAGAGCACAGAGACAATGACCTCCAGAGATGACATAACATAGCTTGGGATGGTTCTCATGAGTGTGTTGTTGTTGTTTGGCACTGGAAATTGAACCCAGGGGCACTTTACCACTGAGCTGTATCACTGGTTCTTTTCAAATTTTGAGACAGGGTCTCCCTAAGTTGCTGAAGTTCTCACTAAAATTACTGTGGCTGGCCTTGAATTTGTGACCATCCTGCCTCAGATTCCCATGCCACTGGGATTACAAGCATATACTACCAGACCCAGTTGCTGCGCATGTTTGAAAGCGATATTACATCCCCAGTTCCTATGAACCAAGTTTTGTCAACTAGAATGCCCATGATTCCTTCATTCAAACCGTTATCAAAACCATGTCTTTTCATTTTCCCTTTTAGCAAATGTGATGGAGTCTTAAGATATGCAATGTTAATGAGAGTGAGAATTGTTAACTAACCACCTTTCTGCAAAGTGGCTAAGCAATAAGGACCAGACTTTTAAATGTATATGTCCTTTATCCCAGTAACTCCACTTAACGAAATTTGTCTTAAGGACTAATAACTGGGCAAGTCATTTTATAATGATAATTCACAGATGGATACCCTATGCAAACACTGACAACTACAGGGTGACCCACCAGCAGGTTGTGGGATTTGAGACTGTTCACAGTGCTCTTCTTCTTGCCGCCTATTGTTCATTCCCTACCCAGCAGCCAGTGTGCTCCTAAAAGAGGTCACGGCATACCACTTCTTGCTTCAACTTTTCCGCCAGGACTGTTTTCAGTAAATCTTGTCTCCATTTATTTCCTGGGCCTCACTGGTGAGCATCCTAGCCTCTTTATCCCAAGGCCCTTTCAGGTTTTACTTCCTTCAAAAACACACAGCAGAAAGGGAAGAGATTGTGTATTTCCTTTTTTGACCCCTTGCCCCCAGTCAAATTAGTTCTATTATCTTGAACCTAGTTTGTCTCTTGTTCTCTGCACTAGCCTGTGGAGGCACACAGTAGGTGGTGGACAAATATCCACCAAATGGCTAGAAGAAGAAACAAATGAATATATTGAATTACAGAATAATAAATGAAGAAAAGGAGAACAAAGCATATGCAGAAACCGTTCCACTTGAAGCAC